GAGTACAGAGAGGATTTAGGAAAGGGCGAAATATGAACGGTATTCAAGAAGATAGAAGATGGCCATTCACGTTGTATTTACATCTTTGAAGATTATAGTTATCAGGGAAGCAATTAAACGGGAGGGGTTTCCACAAGAGGAAAGTGCGAGAAAAGAAAATATAGGGTGGGAATGGCCGCTGCATTTAGTTATTTAAAAAGTAAATGGGTGGGACCTAGATACCAATCTAGTAGAATGCTTAAATTCATGTAATCGGGATACAAGTGAAAAAAACCTCGTCAGAACAGTTCCCATGAAAATATTTTTAGAAAAGACAGAGGGAAGAAAGTGACTTAAATCGAGATACCAATCAGGATCGACTATTTTGCAGATTCTTCATTTGATTTTCTCAAGAACCTCGCGAAGTACAGCAGAAGTAACAGACCAGATATGGCAGCAGCATCCAATGCAGGGACGAATGGTAGATTTGTAAACGTACAATTTGTATTCGGTCGAAAAATATTTTCTGGGACGACACAGTGAGCCGACTTGCCTTCTTACATAAAGCGTTAAGCCCTGAAAACCAACCTTCCAATTCTTAGTTTCTATTTGGAAAAGAATACTGATTTCTGGCACTGCAGGGAAAAATATAACTATTTTAGTTATGAAGCAAAGGCAAAACTTTAACGAATTAAAATATTGCCGCTTTTGAATCTTTGACAATTCACTATATTAAAAAAAAATAATTACTCACTTCCAATACAGTAAAGAGCCTATATTATCTTTGCAAAGAACATTCCGTTTACTGCAAATCTTTCTCTGTCAAGAACACTAGAAGAATTGAAGATATTGGTACGCTGCAGTGTTTGTCTTTCTTCTATAGAATATTTTGCTGTAAGATGCCAAAGTAAATACTTGATTTTTTTTCATCATCTCTTACTCAAATACTTTTATGATTATTGGTTTGGATTCCAAATCCTTGAGAGATGAAACCATTTCAATTTCCAAAGGGTGAAAAAAAAAAGAGAAAAACAAAGAAATTCCTTTGTTGATTCATTCAAATCTTGTCTACATTTAATAAAGTTATTGATTTTATCCTTACATACGTTTGTTTGTTTTTTTAATGGAATATATTTCCATAAGCCTTCTTTAAACATATCCCAAGAGAGTTAACATAATTCTATATTTTAAAATAACAGCAATATAAATTATTATATTTTTAACATCCCTGTGACTGAATAAAGCGGATATTTTATTATTTCATCACATATCCCGTTGATAATCCGATAATGAAAAAATAGTCTTGCTATTTTGATAAAACGAGAAAATTCGATAATTCTTGATAATTCTGGCGATTAAGAGAATATAATTATCTTTTTTACATCTTAATACTTATAGAAGTTAAAAGGGGAGGTAGAGAAAGAACAAGTCGCAAGACGAGCCAATATACTAAATCGTTTGTTTTTTCGTTTGTATATGTGTGTGTGTGTGTTTATATATGTGTGTGTGTGTGTGTGTGTGTGTGTGTGTGTGTGTGTGTGTGTGTGTGTTTATTGGTTTGTTTTCATCTATTCTTCCAAAAAAAAAACGAAAAAAACACACTATCTTGGCCGCATGTCGGAAGATCAATACAACCATGCAGAATCTACAACTTCGAATAGCCCAAGTGAAGTCTTGATTGGTTGTTGTCTACTGGGGCAACTCATATAATTCACGTCCTAAAGCTAGTGGCAAATTTTTGTTCGAGGTGCGGGTTGAATACTGATCATATTCGGTCGGGTCGCCCATCGAAGAAGTCTGTTGTTTATTTAGACCCGAAACTTCTAGTGACATGGGAGCAACAACACTGACGACGCACCTAGATTCGGCACTTAAAGGTGTATTTTAATAACAATACCGGCAATTAACAGTATCCAAGATTTCGGTAAATTTCAACAGCTGCTACCTTTTGTGAACCAATGTGCAAAAAAGAATTACCAATTAGAACTGGACGTTATGGTAAGTAATTTTAGTTTCGGTTTTAGTTCCTTGAACTTTTGGCTAGCATCTAGTATTTAATCCAATTGTTTATCTTCTCATTCCCTTTTTCTTTGCGTATTTTTTGTATTCCTCCCCAAATTTATCCCTCGAACGATTTCGTACCTCTTAAACTCCAGAGTAGAGATGAAAAATAAAAAATAACTCAAAAGTAATTCAGATTTAATCTCATTTATAACTAAATGTGCGTTTTATTTTGCTGTTTATTCGCGAGAAAAATATAAACGTCTATTGAATCCATCTTCGCTACTCAAAACTGATCCATCTCTTGATAATTTTACCTTAAAAGGAACTTGGATAATTCAAATGTTTTAGGCAGCTACAAAACTTTAAGACCAGCTACCGAATTCTCAATAGAAATGTTGTTTTTTTTTTGTTTTTTTATTCATTTTTAACAGCTTCTCAACCCTTTGCAGCTTAATTAAATCCAGAAAATATTTTTAGATTTTAATAATGTTTCTTTTGGAAATAACAATAGTTTAGATTTAACAGGCTTAATAATTAACCCATAGCTGGGGGAGAAGAGCTGGATGCACACCTTTCCCAAGTGTATGCGCGCGCAATGAAATATAAAGAATCTAACGTGAATTGGAACTCGACTCTCCGATTAACAATTCCGAGCCATTACCCATTAATCCAAAGAACATCCAATCTTACAACATTTGGTATTCCTAAGCAGTCACAAATCTAGGTATTCACCAGGATCGACGTTGCTTATCATCGGTGATCGTACGGAATTTGGTGTTTCAAAATCATGTGACTGTAAGCCGGGTTGTTTACACATATCTAATAACAAATTTGAGCGTTAATGATCACCGAAAGTGAAAGTAGAAATTTTAAAAAAAAAAAACAGATAGATTCATACCTCGGTATTTCGGACCTCCCTTTAATGGATATCGGAAGAAAAGGACAAAATCTGGAGCAGCCGATTCAGTTTGTAAGTCACGCGTGCTTCGGACGGAGTTGTGGCAACCCTGGATATAAGCCGCTGCTTCATGAGCTGACCGCTAGTTGGCGGAACGTCACTTTACACCAGTATAACCACACACGTAACATTGCTGTATGAGTTTGCCTTTTGTTTTTAAACTGTTTTATTTTCATCATTTTCTATAACCATGTCGGCTGGAGGAAGAATAGAAAAGTGGAAAATGTGAATTTAACAGTAGCACAAAATAATGTACAGACTTTTTTTTGGGGGGGGGGTGATTAAATGTATTTTTCATTTTCTTTCGTAATATAATTATTGATATTCGCCACTACATAAATAAATAGTATCAGTAGCTACGGACAATCGGCATTTTCGGTCCGATATATCCTCTCTTTTATCCGTTAAAACGAGGTATGTGTGCATATTAATTTAATTCAGACCAAATGGGCAATATGACATTTGAAAGGCTCAAAAATACGAAACATTCCATTAGTACTATTCGTCTAACATGAGAGAATCCAATTGATTCTAAAGCGATCCTTTTCTCACAAAAAAGCGTTTGATGACTGATTCAGATTCATTGACACTCACGTAAGATTCATTGTACACAAGGCTAATGAAAATCATCGTTATTATCTTTATTAATAAGCTTTATTACGTTGAGAAATTATTGCAATTATTTTTTGTCTTTTAAGAAAGTAAGAGCATATTTCCTCAATCGACAGGTACGCCATGAATGAAGTCATGTACCAAGCGAAGATTAGTAAGGAATTCGTTTAGCAAATTAGTCTCACATACTATTACCGTATTTCAACTGTTGCTCCTGGATGTTAAAGTATAACTTTCCTTTTTTTTTCCACTTTCTCCAAAACTTAGTCCTTGTTTGGTCTATGATATCATCAGAATCCTTCTGTTGCTTCAAGTTTCTTCATTTGTAAGATTGTCCAGCATCCACTGCCATTTAGGAGGACAGAAACCTAAACGTTTCCCACCATCCATTGACTCAGGCTTGTTAAGTGGGTCATCCATTGTTTTCCTCTGTTTTAGATATGTATAAATCTCTTTTATTTTTATTTTTTTTTCCATTCTTCTCAAAAAGATTTTTGTTGTTCACATGTGTATTTCCATCGCTTCAAATCTCTTCTTCACCCGTAAGGAGATTGCCCAGCATTCACTGTCATATAAGAGGACTGGTATTACATAAGCGTTCAGTATTCGTTTCTTTGTTTCTTAATACTCAGCTTCGTTTTCCGAAAGCATCCTTGGCCATCCCAATACGTCTTAGGATTTCAGTGTCGCATTTTCCGTCCTCTGTTAAAAAACTTCCCAGATATTTAAATTGTTGTCGTGACATCTCCAATTTGTATGTTGGTTTGCCTCTTTTGCTAACAACCATGCATTCTGTCTTTTTGCAAACGATCCTTTTTTCTTGCTTTCCTCACTAACTTCTGTAAGAGTTCTTGTAGTTTTCTTTCCGTGTCTGCTATCAACAATGTCATCAGCATATCATATGCTGTTAGGACTGTGTCCGCCAATAATGAACCCTGGTAGGATTTCTAATTCTCTCACAATCGCCTCACTGTATAGATTAAATAAGTCCGGTGAGATGTTACATCCTTGTCTCTTTCTGTTTTTATATATCTACTGAACCCATTTTCTATCCATATGCAGGCGGTTTGCTGCCAGTATAGGCTTTGGGATTATTTAAATATCCTTCACAAATCCGTTATGTTTAAGTAGCAATTACAACAGTTCTTTGTGACGTATTTTATCCAACGCTTTTGCATAATCTATAAAACAAAGATACAGCCCTCCTTCATTTGTATTACTCCTCCTGATTTAATTCACCATCCCCACCCTCGTTAGGAGGTCAATGACGTCAGTTCTCTGCTGGGCGCCTTTAGTTTCAGGTGTATTTTTCGTATTTTTTGTTGTATTTGAATGAGTTTGTCATTGAGTGAGTGCTTGGGATGAATGAATATTTTATATTATTAAAGTCCCGCATTGATTTCGTTCAGTTAACTGATATTTCTGCCACATTTTGGGACTGTGGTTGTCGTTCGATCACCGAAGCTAAGCATCGTAGAGCCAGGTCAGTACTTAGATGGGGGACCGCTGTGGAACACCTGATACTGTAAGCAGACCCCTACTACCGGGGTAAACTTTCATTTGGCACCTCGACGTAGTGTAATGGTTAGCAGGTTTGTCTTGCTAGATCAGTTACGAATAAGTAGTGAGTTTGATCCACACCAGGTGCCTCACACTTTCAGCCTTTTGCAACATCTAAGATGCGCTTAGAAAATCCTTTTTTTAAGGACTGTGGGGGGTTTTCTTACTAACATTATTTTGTTTAGTTTCTGTAAATAGTTTTGTACATCTTTGTAAATAAACATCGGGCCAAAATTTTTAATTTGTTGTCTTATTCTCCTTCACCGACAGATAATAAATTGTACATATGGGGTCTAGTTAGGAATTTCATCGAAACATGAGGTATTATGGTGGATGTAGTAAGAAAGACAAGTTTTTTTGGTGTAAGGAATACTGTTGTCTGTTTGGGTCAGTGATTGTGGCTAGCTAAGTTTAACGTTAAGACAGATGAAGACCGTCCCATTTTCCCCATTATTTCTTTTGGCATTTTGCCACATTTGTATTTATAGAAATAAATATCGTATTGCTTTTTTTCTATTTACATACCAATTATCTTTGTTTCCAACCAAATTTTCCTGTTCCTTAATATTTTCTTCAGTTTTTGGAAAGCATCATGCACTCTTCCAAAGCACTTTTGGATTTCTATCACATTTTCTAGCATATCTTATAACATTCCACAATATGATTTTAAAAGAATATCACAAAAAATGGTATTGTATTATGCTGGTATGGAAATAGAACTTCGTGCTGGTTACTGCCAAATATAAACATTAGAAGCCAATATGTCATGGCGTCTTCAGACATATCTTTCTCTCCTCCTCTCTCCTCTCTCTCTCTCTCTCTCTATATATATATATATATATATATATATATATATATATATATATATTTTTCTCAAAGTGTGTGTGTAATAGGATTTTCTTTATGCGTTTCCACAGTTTTCATCCGATTTCGATGATTTTTTTTGTTTGATAGATAATTCTTTAGTGGCGTGTCCAAATTGTAGGCGACAATGGCTCTCCACTACTTCCTGTCCATTATAACTCTCAACAACGTTTTTTTTACTATTTACTATCTGTTTTTTTTTGGATATATATATATATATATATATATATATATATATATATATATATATATATATATATTATAAATAAATTGATTTAAAATATTTTTTTTTTACACAGTTCTAACCATGTTTCAAAATGGAAGCTAAAAGCCCCCGAATTTAATTTTGTGATTAAATTAAAGAACATTAATTCCATTTCATCCTCGCTTTGAGATGAAACGGAACTAATAAATTAAATTCAGGGCTTTTAGCTTCCAGTTTTGAAACATGGTTAAAACTGTAAAGAAAAACATATTTTTAAATCAATTAATTATAATATTAATGCTCTGTAAATTTACATTGAGCACTATTTTGTAAAAATAAAAGTATCTATAAGAACACCGGATTATATATCTTGCTGTTCTTTCTTTTTATTTATATATATATATATTAAAGACATTTTTATGTTTAACGTTCTTTTTTATAGATACAAGTATTTAAGTAAATGCTCTGTTTATAATAAACAGTATTAAATAATATTTACCGGCCTGAATGTCCGAGAAATTTTCATAGAAAATATTCGTCCTTTGACAGGATTCGAACCTGCATCCTATACGGAAGCGTCATTTACGCTGACGTGCCTAATCTCTCGGCCACAAAGGAGCGTTCGGTAGACAAGGTCGAATTTACTGCTTATAAACTTCAATCTTCCATGAATCTCGTACATTCATAACTGCTCTGGCGTATCAAATGTAAACAAATGACGTCATATATTAAGAAATGGACAAAGTCCGACAATTTATTTATTAAAGACATTCAGGCCGGTAAATGTTATTTAATACTGTTTATTATAAACAGAGCATTTACTTAAATACTTGTATCTATAAAAAACGAACGTTAAACATATATATATATATATATATATATATATATATATATATATATATACGTCGACAGTAAAATGTAAGTTTAGTAAAAGACATGCATAAGTTCTCAGCAGTGGAAGTGTTTTAAGTCTGTAGTTAGTTTGATAGTTATCAGATGTTATACGCCAATTTATCATATTGGAAACTATGGCTTTTACAAGAGGCTAGAGAGTCTGCACGTTAATTTTACGTCGAATAGTTCTACTAACCTCAATTTGTACATGCTTTTAAATTGCGTTTAACATTGAAAACCTGGCATTTAGCTGATTTCTATCACAGAATTATTTATTTACTTGCTTGATTTTGACGCTTCTAAATTGCAGCTGACAGCTTGCATTGTCACACTTGCTCATAAAATACGTTCTGCTTTCTTTTTCTCTTGCCTTTCTTTACTACCTTGTCTAGAAATACGTACTGTTGTATTTTTGCTCCTGTATCAATAATCAGTATTTTAAAATAGAGCAAACAGAAACCGAAAACTTCTATTATAAAATCATGTTGTAAAAAAGAAACTGTTTGCTATTATCATTTGCAATTATTATTGATACTTACTAAGTTTAGTCACTTAAGCCTTCAAAGTCTTGAATAAACGTCACCAAGTAATGGACGAATTCTTTACTGCGCTAAAAGTTACTGTTTGTCTAAATTCCTATCTGTTATTCATTGAAATTTCTAATATTAGTGTACGGATGCAAAGAACGATTATCTCCCTTTGGTTAAGAAGAATTCACAATGGTCACGTGATGACCAGTTAGCTAAATCAGTTCATAGTATCGGACTGTAGTTGCTATGAATCACGCTTGGAGGCAAGACGTGTCTGTCCACATCAATAGATATAAAGACCGCGGAGAAGACATATGTTACAACCACACAATGATAGAGCATGCGAAAGAAACTACATGGTCTCACCTGAAACATAAAAGATAACACCAACCTGCTCGCTTCATGACGTGGGTGATCATGGCTCTACACAAATTCTTATCCTTTTTGGCTCTCAACAGTGTCGTTGTACTATCCCACCCTCTACCTGTCCTGCGAGTCATTTACACAGGGTGTTTAGTCAGGTTACTCGCTGATTCCCTGTATCCCCTTTGCCTTCAATATGTTCTGTGAGTACCAAAATCTCCAAGTCCTTTTTCCTCAATGTGACCGAAAAATTTCAACTGTCTCTTTCGGAATTTCAGTACAGCATCCATTTCTATTTCTCTCATACATAACATAAATTTTTATTCCCCTCCGGATATCGTTGACTGTTGCCAGCCAGAGTGTAAGAGATTCTCTTTTTCTCCTGTTATTTTTAATAGATACAATTTATTTAAGTAAATTATCAGTTTTTTTTTAAATAAACAGTATTAATTACATTTGCTGTACCGAATGTTCGAGAAATTTCGTAGAAAATGTGCGTTCATCGATAGGAATCGAACCTGTGTCTTCACACACACACACATCTATAATAAATATAAATTATGATATTTAAACTTTTTATACATATATATATAGATATATATTGTACGTTGTGTGCGCGATTTTTAATCATTTCACCTAAGAAAGGTGATAATTCCCATAAGACGCTAGTGATTACTGACTGTGTGAGTAAAATTAAATGAGAATCCGAAGAATCATAAATGTATAAGACAATTTGGAAAACTGCTACTTTGACATGTTTTTCTAATGTACTGACGTCGGCAGGAATAACAACGTCTAGATTGGCGAGAAAAAAACGGGATTCACGTTAAGCGGCTGAATGTTTGAATTTTACTTTACCTTTATCTTTATAGAAATTAGATTTTAATTAATTTCAACACACTTCTTATTTTTATTTATTTCTTTTTAAAACTTTATATATCCAAGATTGTTTCATTACTCATTTCGTAAGAACAGCATAAAAAAAATATAGTACTCCTCCGTTGTGGCCGTATTCATAGATTTTCTTTTTATTATTTGTGCTTCCATTATTTTTACTCTTTTCTTTACATGTCGATGAGGCTATTATACATGTATTTCCTATAAATATGACGCGGATGGAGTTCCGTAAGTTTCTGCTTGTGCTTAAGAGAATCCTAACTGAGTTATGGTCAGAAAATGTGTAACGTGAAACATCAATTTATTCAATTAAAAATAGAAAAATAGAATCATCCTTGATAATGGCTAAAAGAATAGCCGAAAGCGCTTGAATGTGCAAAACATTTGAACAGTTTTACACATTTGATGTCCAAAAAAGAATAGAACTAATATACTAACACAAGTAAAATTGAATAAAATGCTTAATCGCAGTACCTTGTCAGTCGTCTTTGATGAAACTTGCAAAAAAGATGGACTGCTACTTAAATATACACACAAACACACACACACACACACACACACACATATATATATATATATATATATATATATATATATATATATATATATATATAAATATTAAACGTGAATCAATAAAAAAAAGGCATCAATTATTTTTAACTTAATATAAAAATAATGAAAAACAAGAAAATTGACGTCTCCTGATGTCTCCTGACGTGTGGACCAAATCTACGAAACCCTGGAATATAGGTCCTGAATATTATAACATCAACAAGCTAAGTGACAAATTTGATATTTGTATTAATCCTACATTTTATATATATATATATATATATATATATATATATATATATATATATATATATATATATATATATATATAAATGGATATAAATCCTGATGATGGCCATGTTGGCCGAAACTAGTCGAGGAATCTAAATAATAAAAAAAAACGTGAAAGAATATTAATATACAAACCAGTGTGTGTGTCTCTCTCTCTCTCTCTCTATATATATATATATATATATATATATATATATATATATATATATATATGTGTGTGTGTGAAAATATATAAAATATAGGAAAGAACTCGTTAAATAAATAATCCAAAGTTCTTTAGTATTTTTTGTTATTATTTTAAAGAATACTGCTCGATACAAAAGTAGAGCATAAATATAATTATTTATTTAAAAATATGATTCCAACACGCTAGC